AAAAAAAAAAAAAAAAAAAAAAAAAAAAAAAAAAAAAAAAAGGCAACAAACTATCCTCATCTTATCAATTGTAATTACAGTGTTTGGCTTTAAGTGTAGAAAAGCCAAAAGTTATCTTCCCATTACAAAAGTAGTTTAAAATGAAAGTACTCCCACTTTTTTTTTCCATGGATAAGCCCCACGGTATGGTTAATTCTTCGAATAAGTATGCTACAACATCAATGAAGGTAAAGCAAAACAGACACTCAAAGCCTGTCTCACTTGCCTTAATGATGGAAAACCTAAGAGTGGTATCACAAATGACATCTCACAGCTCACCTGTGGGGCCTTTCTTCCTTCTACAAATTCTACTTTGAGAGCTCAAAGACCATTCTAAAGCTGGCCTAAGACATGCTTACAACAGGAAGAAAACTTCTTGTAGAGCTCTGTAATATTCTAGTCCCACACAACATTTATGGCTCTTCCTAGATACCTACTGCTTTGGTTTGGATCCTTGAGTCAGTACTTTTACTAAGAGGAAAAAAAAAAACAGAAAAAACAAGCAAGCCATGCCAGAGAAGAACCAGCAACCAAAACCAAGGTAAAACACAGTTATGAAGTGCTTGAGAACTGCCAGAAATGTACATGAAACAATCAAGATCACTGATGAAAAGACTAAGCCACCTTATGATGCAGATGAGTGAAATCTCTTCTGCATAGTCTCTTTCCATCAACTAACAAATAAACTTACAAAAATATCTGTGATAATGAGGTGAACATTAGTTTACAGAAGTTTGGAAGAAATCCATAAATATCAGCAACAGACTAAATACCTATTTATTATTACAATGCATCAAGAAATAAAATAAATTTTAGAAAGCACCTGAAGAAATCTGCTGAAGTAATCCCTGAAGTGAATACTTCTTAAGGGGGAAGAGTGTAATTCTGTTTTGAATTCTATTTGTAAGTTTCGGGGTTAAAGTAGAGCACAACAGTATCTGATGTGTAATCTACATAAAACTCACAAAGGCATACATTTTTCCTTAAAGATGATTTAATTGATGATTTTAAATACAAACTACTTGAAATGAACTAAAATAAACAAGAATAGAACTTTCACTTCAGAGACTCAGAAATAAAAGAAAGTCTCCTCTTGTGGAAAATAGAAGCATAAAAAAAACTGCCAAACTGTTTTAAGAGGTACTGATACAGCTTCTTCCATATTATTCCTACTGGGAAAAAAATGGTACATTGCACCACTAATAAAAACAATCAGTTCCCTAAGACTCGATGTAACTTTTTACCTTCTTGGTAGAAGTCTACTTCCAGGTGCAATTCACATGCCTTTAGCAGTAAGATCCAACACCAGTCCCAGTGTCTTGAAGCTGTATTAGGTACACTGATTCATTCAGCTACACATCTTCCATCCGTTAACACAGAAGGCACAACGGAAACAGAGCTAAGATAAACACAAGACAAAAATCTGAAATCAACTTCTTTATGGATTAGCCAGTGTTAAAATCAATACTTTTATTAATCATTCAATGAGCTTTCACTGACCCTCAGAAAGAATCAGACTGACTCACATCTCAGCTACAAACCACAAATCACAGTAAGAGTAGAACCTGAAACATGTACCCATCAACTCGTTTAATTCAGGTATTAAAATTTATTCTGCTAGGCCAGTACATGATGTTTACGTACAATTCAGAAAACAAATCACAAAGCTAATATGGATGTCTGACCACGGCCAGAGTAAACCGACCCCATAATGGAGACCACAAGCTTGGCTAAAGGCCATCAGAGGACAGTGATATAGCTGTACTTCAGAGCTCAAAGATCTTTCTTAGTGCTTCCAAACCAAGATTCAGAAGTCCTATGAAAAGATTAAGGCAATCCTACATTGTCATCAGGGAAGAAAGGGGGGTGGTGTGTGTGTTGGGATCTTTTAAGGAATACTTTAAAAAGACTAAGCATGGATCAAAGAGGCTCAGGCAACAGGGGAGAAAACCCTACATACTGTATTAGTTAGGGAGAATCACCTACTCACTGAACAAATTCAGTCTGAAGTTCTTCTCAAGGGGAATAGTAGCTAAATGCTGTTAATTAAGAATATGGAGGGGGGGAAGCATATACCATATATTTTCCAGCACAAAAGACTCTACCTAACTGCCAAAAGAATTCAAGGGCTTATGTTCTTTCACAGCTTGATAATATTTACGTGGAACAAATTTTCCTAATGTGTCTATTAATGTTAACTGGGAATCCCATAGCTAAGTGAGTTTTAATGATTCATTTACTAATGGAGACCAGTATTTGCACACACTACGAAGGTAAACAAATACATCTGTCAAGCATCTTCTTTCCTCCTGAGCCTCAGCTAGTACAATTCATCAAAACCTGATGATTGCTCTGCATAAGGAATGTGTTATTTGTCTGATAGACTTAAGTTGAAGAGGAGAGAAGAAACCACACTTAAACTCCTTTTAGAAATGATGATCTGATGTCCACAAACTCAAAAATAGCTGACAACATAAACATAACAGCTTGAATTCAGCATTTTAAATGCTGAACTGTATAAAACACAGTTGAAACTGGCATACTTCAAGAAATATGCACACAGAAGAGTTACACATATGTAAGCCTTTTACTGAACTCGTTTTTAAGATTAGCATTATAATCATTGTGCAAAACTGAAACTTTCATTTTCTGGACAAAGACGCTGAGTTCACACGAAATTAAAAATAAAAAAGCGCTTTCTCAGCTTTCTGAAAGCTTGAAGTACAAGCATTTAAATGTTTACAGTTAGATAAGTGCCAGATTTTGTAAACTGCTAAGTAATGTTACACAGCCATCATTTCTAAGCATTCAAGTGAATTCTGTTACCTGGGCAATTCATAATTTTACTTCAGTCTGACCTGAAACCAGAAACTTTATTTTCCAATGAATTTAATAACAACTCATAGGATACTGAAATATGGTTCTTTGACTGAAAAAAATATTAATTATTAAAAAAACACTGAAAGGGAAAATTCATTTTAAAAAATGAATCTATGTTTAGTTTTGTCTCCAGAATTAAACCCTGCAAGACGTGTTTCCCCATACTGCACTTAATAAAATAATGCCATCCCTGATGGTGGCTGAGATAAAGCACTGATCAGTACTAATGCAAACTACAGTATTTCAACAGAAACAAGATTTGTTGTGCTCCTCGTGGAGAAACACAGGCACACATGCAATAAGCAACCACAAGGGCATGAAAGCTTCAGATTTTGATTTCTCTGCTCAGCACAAACAGGATTCTACTACTGTCCCTTTGGCATATTCCCATAACTCCATTTCACTACTACCCCTCTGGCAAAGCCCCACTTCTTTCTGTCAAGAGGCAGTACTGGAGCAGAAGGAGAAAGGCAGAAGGACGCCTTCCCTTTGCCAGCCATCACCTCTTCAGCTCACTTACATGCACGCTGGCTTTCACACAGTTTGTGACCAATTCTTCCCTATCTTTCGAACGTGCGCCTGCAGTAGCTGCTGTGTGTGTATAGCAAACTGCCAGGTGGAAAACTCCCAGCTTTGCAGAAGGATCTGTGCGAGGAAAACACTCGGCAGGACGCGGGCTATTCCCACTGCCTGTCCCCCACCGCCTTCACAGCCGAGATGCAGTATATCCCTGCAAACTCCTCCACTCCTCCGACCACCGGATCCGGGGTGGGCAACAGACCACAGAGAGGTCAACTAGAAACTCTCAGCGGGGAGGGTGCGAACGGTGCCCCCGGGGTGCGTTGGAGGCCCCGGAGCTGCTCGAGCTCCTCTCCCTGTGCCAGGTGTCCTGGTGCCCCGCAAGTTCCAGTGCCGGAGCTCCCAGGCCCCCGGCCCCNGGACCCCGTGGTGGAGCCGGGGGCGCCTCCCGGGGCACCCGCTCCCTGCCGCCCCCGGCGCGGTGCAGGGGACGCTCGGAGCCGGCGGGGTGGGTGCGGTGTCTCTGCCCCCGTGGCGGGGGACGCCGCAGCGCTGCCAGTTGCAGCAGCAGGAGCAGCACAAGGTACATCGTTATATGCATGTACAATTCCGTGGGCTTCCCACCCATGGAAATGGAAGAGTGCGAGGCGAAGAATGAATTATCGGGGCGTTTCGATAGGGTCGTGCTGCTGAGCGCTGATTCACTTGCCAAAATGACAAAACCCTGTTCCCGTGCTGTAAGATACAGATTTACCTTCTTTTCGCCCCCCCGCCCACTTGCCATTTGAAACAGAAGCCGCCTCAGAACTTGCCCACAAGCCCCCCGCTTTTCCTTCGTGGCGTGGCCCTGTTCTGCATTTAGCTGCGGTCAGCCCCGGGCTTCTTGGGCGCCGGCGTCCGGCAGCCGCAGCCCTGGGCTGCCTCCGGCTGACCTATATCGCTCACCCGTCCCTGAGATCGGGCTCTCCGTCTCCTTTGACTACCGACCTTCATGCCGTCTTCCACGGGATTCCCTCCCTCTACAACCCTATCGTAGCTGCCGCCCTCTCCCACAGCTGGCTTGCTGCTCCTGACCTCCACTTCTGGCCCAATTCCAAATCTCTTCTGGCATGCTTCAGAATTCTCTGCCTACATTATTATTACATTGGGTTTAAATCGTGTGCTTTTTTTTATTCCTAGTTAATCATTCATACTGTCTCATCTCAGAATGCTGTGGAACTAGAGCTGATCCTGTGCTTATGACGAGTGGTTCTTCCGTTAAGCTGGTATGAAACCTGAAAACTTACTCTGGAAAAAGTTATTAATCACCCAGGCTGCATTTAACATGCACAAAGACGGTAAAACGAATAAAGTGTACCATGCTTTTCCTGTGGGATTTGCAATGTACCATCAGTTAAAGGCTTGCACGTATACTTACCTTTATTTATGTGCATGGTTCCATTTAAGTCAATAGGGCTACTTCCAGTACATCAAATTAAAAGTAAATACAAGTCATTCCATGGTGAGATACTTAATCTGAAATGACAGAATAGGCAGTTACAACAAACAGGGAGGGGAAGTGGAAAAATAAGGGTAACACCAATGAGATTATACTGGAATTTTGGCATGTTGTGTACAAACCACGGTAGTTCCCTCTTTGCTTGCAAAAGCCAGTGGCTAGGTGAGTTGTTCAGGCTCCAGTAGTGCAAACAGGTACTTGTCACTTACGGCGTGTAAGTGGTACAATTGTGTTCAGCTGGATAAGATATACAGAAGTTTATTACATACAGAAACTTGGGGAGTAAAATCTTGAACACTTTGTTATGTATGGGATTTGATACAGAAAAAGGGAATTAGAGAAAGGGAATTGGCTCATAAAATGAGAAGAAGACAAGAATGGAGGTGGGTGAGGGAAAGAAAATGAAGACAGAAACAAAAAGATTAGGATATAGAATAGCATGGTAGGATAGTGAACACATTTTGGAATAGCAACAGCAAACCATTTTACCAATTCAAATGTACAGCTACCAATAAAGCAAAAACCAGCCAGCAAAGCAGCACAGTAATGTATTACTTTCTAAATGTCCAGTGGGATTCAGAAAATCAGTACAAATGCTCTGAAATCTCTTGGCTAATGCTGGAGAATAGGAGAGGAACAGAGCCCAGGTGTTTTAAAATTCTGCACTGGGACATTGAGTAGTCACTGTGGTGGTGAGATGATTTCTCCTTGAAGCTGATAAGGGACAAAACAAACCTCCAGCCAGCCATCCTCTTGAGATCTTGGCAGCAGAGAGCCTGCAGCCAAGTAGGTGCTTTTCATCAGAAGTATTCGAAATAATCAATTAACAAAATACACTAAGCATAGGGAAGAAAGAAACTCTTTTCTGCACAAGCTGTACACCGAAACTGGCAGTTGTTTATTTTGGTATGACAGGCAGATACATTTGTTTTCTTGCTTGCTAGCTTATTATTATAGAACAGGATGACAAAGAGGTATTAAGGAAAAGTAGGGGCTGCTCAAACTCTTGAGTCGAGAGGAAATACCTTATGTGTGCTGCATTTGGTGAGGCGTACAAGATTTGAGAATGCAAACTAGCCTGTCTTTCCAAAACACTTTCTGAAGAACATCTACATCTACTAGAACATCTACTTTGTAGGTATTTAATTCAGTTTCTGGCAGAAAAGTACAAAGTATTACATCACAATACAAAAATACTGCCCTCTGAGCAAAGCATCTGGTATGTTCTAAGGAGGCATAAGCACACACAACATGCTGTCAGACATGGAAGGATAAAAATCATATCAACAGGAAGAGAGGTGAGCAGAAAGGGCTGAGGAAGAAAAGTGCTTTTCTTTTTGGTGGTAAGGAATGGAGAGAAGGGTTTGAGATAGACAACCTCATCTCAATTTTATATATCCTTATTATCTCTGTTTATCTGGACTGCTGGCCTGAGTGTAATTTCAATATTTACATATGAAACACTGCTGTCTCATATGGTAGTGTAAAATCAGCACCTTAGGCCAGAATTTCATGTGTTGGTGGTCTTCTCTTTAAACTCATATTGGAAGAGTATCAAATATGATGAGTAAATGTTTCCATGTCTCTGTTCCCACATCCGAGACTCCCTTTGAAATCTTTTATCTGAATATTCAACCATCATCTTCAACATAAAATTGGCAAAGTCAAACTCTATTTTTGTATAGGTAATTTCATGTTTCCTGCAGGTTTCTCATCATCTGGTCTCCAGACCATCATTTTTAGGGAAAAACCTGTCCTCAGACCTTCCCCTTTTGACCCACACATTTGTGTCCTTGATCTTTCTTTCATCTTGTTCTGAAGAACACCCTTTGTTGGAAGATTCACCATGCTCCTATGTTTTCCAGCTCAACTGTCTCGCCAATTTATTTTTTTTCCTGGAAAATTTATTTTTAGCACCCATGATTTTACTGATCTGTCTTACACTGTTGCCCCACAGATGGCTGCATTTGCACAAAAAGCATTGCAGAAGATTGATGTGGCAGCAAGAACAAGTGGCATAGGGAAGGAAGAGAACTGTCTAGATCAATATTGCCACTGGAAAAAATGTAGTATGGAAATGCATTCTGACTTGCAACTAAAGAAGAAAGGATAAAAGCCTTTGGTGAATTAAAATATGATGAATTAAAATATCTGCAATACGTATGGATAACAAAACAGAAATCAGACCTGTTCCAAAATAGGAAATATTAATAAATATCACTATATAACTGATAAATATTATATATAAATACAGCTAAGAGACAAGATTGCACAGGACAGGAATAAGTGTTGAGTACATCATAAGTGTTGGGCATCAGGTTTCTGTTTGCCCATTGTGAAAGATTATTTGCCATGCACTGATTGTCATAAATTGTATTGAGTGCAGTAGATTAAAAAAAAAAATAAAATTAATACCTGTGTACCATGATGACAAGCCTAGGATAATGGATTAGTGACAAATAGACCTATCTAATAGAGATGCGATCTCACTAATCCAAGTTATAAAGTGGCAAGATACCAGTAAATAATGTGTAAGCTGAGAACTTTCCAAATTTTTTGGCATGTCATAAAACATTAAAGATGAAGGCTTCCATAGCCATTTCAAATATCTCAGAGATCTTAGAATTACATCATCTGATCTAATCAGTTTTGGTAGTAGTCAATAAAGTAAAAATAGAAAATTTATAATATATAGAACTGCAGTCCCTAGAACATGCGTATTGCAAGAAAGAAAATCTGTTTAAATAAATAAAATTTATTTAGGTTCATTTCCAGCCACTGTGACAGAATAAAAACAGGTTGAGAAATCTGAGAGCCTGAGTCCAAAAAGTGCTCCTAAACACATGCAAGATGTCATTCAATATACAAGACTCCAAAAATCTGAAAAAGACTGCTATATGAGCTTAAAATTTCTCAAATGCCTAAAACTCTACTCCTAGATGAGTATTTAAGCTCTAGAGGAAAGGAGTTGCAGCATGCAAAAGTGATACCTGTATATTTTCTTGGAGTTAGCCATTTTTAAAGCCCAGTTGGCTATCACTGTCAATATCCTCAGGGAACTTCAATTTGTTAGAAAAATAAACGAAAGTCAAGAGTTATACTGCAAAAAGCAGCAGACTATGATTTCTGTTGCACAACACTGTTTCCATTCTAGTCTCCTGAGCTTTCGTCCTCTTTTAGTCAGAACAGCCTGAAATTTTTGTTTTTCTGGGTTCAGAAGTTATGTGCTTATTCTCTGCCCAAAGGTGAAATTGTTTCTGGAAAGCTTGAGCAAGAATATTTTTGCTGTTTTAAGTGTGAGAACAGCGGGATGGCGGGGAGGGGGGAATGTTGCATAAAGGTAAAAATGCTTCAGGGTTTTCTAAAGAACTTTTTCACCATGATGAAGATATGTGAAGTGATGAAAGTCGTGGTGGAAGTAATCCTGCTCAGGGAGGACCTATACTTTTTCTAAAATTGGTCTCAAGTGTGTCCTTCGAGCAGCATATGCACTCCATCTTAGTCAGAGCCAGGGAGCATTTACACTTGACCTTCCCACAGAGGAAGGGCAAGTTTCTGCTCTATCTGTCCCTTCTGAGTATTTCTGTGGTGACACGCTGACTGTACCCCCAAGTCCTGCCCCATTACTGCCTAATTCTTCAGGGTGTGGCTCATCTCCAGTGTATCCACAGGTTTCCTCACAAATGAACTGGGATTGGGGAGGCTGGTGAGGAAGGGGCTCAGTGCCCACAGGGACCGCACTTCAGTGCACACCATGGGCACGCTCTGCTGTTGGTGGTACGGGATCTCCAAATGTGTTGCAGCAGGCTTTTGTGGCCTTCTCTCTCTGCATGTCCTCATGCCACAGTTAAGCATCACAGGCATTTAAAAATATAAACCACCTATGTGACAATGAGGGGCCTCTATCAGCTGTCTTGTGGGATGTGCAGAAGCAGAGTGTTTCTCCTCAAGAGCACATCCCAATGTCTGCTAACCTGCCTCAAGCCATGGCTAGGTCAGTGGACCTGAAGACAGCATGTGTTTGCAGCCAGGGATAGCAGAAGGAAAGGATTATGGGCAGGCATGGCATGACACAGCCCATCGTCACATGCTCTCACGTGCAGTCATGCCAGGTGTTACATGTCCATCATGAGCACACATCGGACAAAGACAGTGAGCAAGACGTCCTTCTCGGCTGGAGGGGGAGTGTACAACCTCTGACCCTCCTGTGGCCACAAAACCATCCTGTCAGGGGGCAGCACAGGCCAGGGACTCCCCATGGTGGCAGGGCCTATTCCACCATTCCAGCCCTAAATCAGGCAGCTGGAGGGCACTGGGGCAGCTCCAGCCCTGGGAGCCCCAGCCCTGGGTATTGGGCACCTCCCTGGGGACAGGCTGAGGCCAGACTGGGACGTGAACCCACAGTTGTGCCTGGCACATTAAGACCCATTGTTAGGATGGGCTGATGGCTCCAGAGGGCTGAAATGGGGTCCTGAGTCATGGGCAGGCACCTCAGGGTCCCAACACATCCTTATGGAGAGAATCCATATGGCTTTGCCTCTGGCTGACTTCAAGAAGAGCTCACAGAAGCAGAGCTCTTTCCAGGAGCATTGCTGTGAGCAGTTGGATTGGTGGATGAAAAGGACAGAGGTGGTGAGGAGTGGTTGCCTTCAGCCCCTGCTTAGGGAACACATTTTCTCATACAATAGCTGTGAGAGCCATCAGCAAGCAGCAGTAGGACATAGGGCCTCTGTGCAGAGAGCTTTTCAGAAGTGTGTCATCCCTCCTGGCCTCACCAGGGCAGATGAGCCACAGGAGAGAGTCACTTGCTCTGTGTGGGGAGCTGCAAATACAGCTCTGCCAGATTGTCTGGCAATTCCCACTTTCAGTAAAACATTCTGCAGCCCCAGCCACTGCCAAGGGCAGAGGACAGGAGCAGAGCACTCCGATGCAGCCTGGTTCTCCCCAGCTTCGACAGGTGAATCTTACAACTACACTGCTCTCCTCTATGCATTGAGGCTAGCACTGGCATGGCCATTTTGCCATGAGCATCGTGACTGTGCCTTCCTTCCTGCCAACATCACTGACAAGTTTGTTGTTTACTGTGACTGCTCTCAGCATGACCCTCATAAAGCAGCAATTCTGGCCTCAGCAATTCTGGCCTCTACCTCTTTCCCAGAAGTCTCCTCTGTTGTCTCTGTTTCTTCAGGCTAGCCAGAGCAAGGCCTTCCAGAGTGTAAAACTCTTGCTTCCTTGCTTCCTTGAATAAAGCTGACTCCAGACACAAGGTAGTAATAACAGCAATTTCCTGTGGTCAGGAGCACCCTATTCCAATGCTCTCTCCAACAGTTTCCAAGACTTCAAGCCTCTTTTGCATCACACAGAAAGGGTAGTGACTGCAGTGCTGTGAGTTTACCCAGGAATGGTACATAATAAAATATTTGACAGAGAGCCCTAAATACTACCTAAATTCATGGTAGGCAGCGTACCAGGACATGCCTAGATTGACCATAATGCAATGTGACCAGAAGAGAACTGCTGGTCTCAAATGTCCTTTCTTCATGCAAAGAAGTACCTGAAACATCCAAAGAAGAGTCCCACCGTGTACCCAAGAGTACTGTCCAAACACTTCTTGAACTCTGTGAGGCTTGGTGCTGTGACCATTTCCTTGGGAAGTCTGGTCCAGTGCCCAACCATCCTCTGTGTGAAGAACCTTTTTATAATATCCAACCTATACCTCCCCTGACACAACTTCAGGCCATTCCCTTGAGTCTTTTCACTGGGACCAGAGAGAAGAGATCGGTGTCTGCCCCTCCTCCTCCCCTCATGAGGAAGCTGAAACTGCAATGAGGTCTCCCTTCAGTGTCCTCTTCTCCAGCCTGAACAGAACAAGTGACCTCAGCTGCTCCTCATATGGTTTGCCCTCAAGGCCCTACATGGTGGTCTTTATGTGCATTTGCATTGATGTCAAAGTGAGGAAAATGCTGTGGTGTGTTTTCTTCTCCCTGCTGTCCAACAAGGTCCCCAGGGGCCGCTACTCCATCCAGCTTCACCTCTGCCATGCTACAAGTGGAGTGCTACAGCTTTTGCATTGTGCTTCTCCTCAAAAAGAAAATAGAATTTATTTAAAATATATATAACTATATACTATATATAATAATATAAATGTTTGAGGCCATAATTGTGAATTATGAACTAGCATTTTTATTTTTATTCTAGAATTTGCTTACTGTCCCAAAGTAATCAAGTCAGGAATCAGAAGATTTGGCTTCTCTAAGAATTGTGTCTGCTTCAAGTCCTACAGGAGGTACTGTGTGTGTTGGTATTGCTTCCTTTTTTCCCTTTTTTTACTCCTTGGTTTGTCTTCACAGGGTTGTTTCCCTTGATTCCTTTCTATTTCTGCATCAGACCAACTAAACACATGATACCTAAGACTACACTCACTGTGCCCCCCTGCTCCATCCCCTGCACTCAGTTCTGTCCAAGATATACGGACAGAGAGTTCCTCTTAGCCAAGGGTAATGAGTCTCAAAGTCTGGATGATTAGAAGGAAGGGTTAGGGTTTTGCCTGCCTTTTGGGAGATCATTTTCAGATACCATTCCTAATCATGCACTCTAGTACAAGACCTGCAGAAGTGAGTCCTCCCTGGAGACTGCAGTGCTATTCTTTGCTTTATGGAAGGTGTTTCTGCCCTCCATTTATCCCTAAAGGGTTAGAACTGACATTTGGTACTGAAATTTGTTGAATTTTTTTTTATTTTTGTTTCAAATTCTGATAAAATTTAACCACTGAGATAGTCCAGGTTTCTGCTTGAAGCAACAAAAGGGTAGCCATAATACTCAGTGGGCAGTCTCTCTGATGTTGTGGAGTTTATCTATAATGCAGGGGGTGTAGATGTATTTGAGCCAATTCTACTTCTTGGGTTCAGCTGGCTGTGCAAGTGTGGAGCTTGGTGAAGGACAACAGTTCACCAGCATTTCAGGCTCTGCTTGATTTTTTTTTAAATTTTTTTCCCTTCACTTCCCCAGGAAATACTGAGGTTATGAGATTTTGTACAAAATTATTCCCTACAATGGTAACTAGTAACACACATCTGTGCTTATCTGGAGGTCTCTCTGCAATGCCCAGGCTGTGTGTTTTAGGTTTAGGTCATCCCCATTCACCACTTACTTGTCTGTCAGGTCTGGGCCATGAAATATAGAAGGTAAAGTTATTGATCACTGAAATTATTATACTCAGATACTTAGATGACATATCCAAAAGGTTGGATAAGTTTATGATCAATAAGAAATTCATCTAACTACAGAGCTGAAGAAGACAACAAGCAAATGATGCAATCTACTAAGCTCTGACCAGGGAAGACGATGCACCTCCACAAATGTATTTAGTCTTCATAGGAGAGTGGTTCCTCTGAAGCCTCTGGTGTTGCCTGCTGCTGGAGACAGGGCTCAGTGGAGTAATTACTTTAGTCATGAAGACAGATACTCCAATGACATCAGTGGAAATCCTTTTCATGGTGCTGAATTACAGCTTAAGAGCAGCAATCTCATGACACACTCCTCCTGATTCCGCACCTGCGTTGTGACAACTGTATTGCTTGGTTACATGAAAACAATATCACTGCCTAAGGGGAAGACAAAATGACAATAAATTTATTTTTATGAGATCTTTGGATTCTTTGCCATCTCCTGTTTGCTTTCTGTATTTTTTTTCCTTTTCCTTTTTGCAGGATTCTGTATTTATGGGGACATTACTTTTCACTGCTTGCAATTTTCCAATTGCTCTGATGTGATTGCTTTCCCATTTGCAATTTCTTTGTATGTGCTGCTAAAATTTAGAAACCAGTGTCACCATTCAGATTTTTCTAGGTTGCAACTGACAAGAGTGAAATGCCTCCCCATCCCAAAAGTGAGTTTCATGTCGTTATCAAAGGTTTGGAGGGATACCTCTTATTTAAGTTTTGCTGACAAAAATGATAAAAAATCTCACATACTGGTTTCATATCATCTGTTATAAGTATATGTCAAGACTAATTTTTAAATATTTTTTTACTTAGCATGGTAAGAGAAAACTTGGAGCCTGACCACCTGCAATTAGGGCATGAAGGGTGTACCATAGTGTTCTGAAGAGTGGAGATCTTTAAACAGTTTATATTCTGACACTGAAGACATAGGTTATTGTAAACATTTTAGGCAGGTCGTTTTTGTGTGACATACTGTAGCCTCATGTGAACTAGTCTCTGAAGAAGCTGTATGAATCACCTTCTGGCTTCATCTGTCTTTCTTCTTTCAGTGTCGAGAAAGCACAGATTATGATCTTGGTTTAACCTTACCATTTGAATAGTTAAGGTTAGGTAAGGCTAAGATTAATTCTGTCTTCAAATTAGCCAAGTATCTGAAAAGATATAAAGTGTTCCTTTTTTCCTTCCTCCATAGCATTACTAAAAATCCATGTGGTGATTCTTGCAGAATTATTTGATATAATAAATGCTCATACTTAAAGTGCTATGATTAATCAGTGATGATAATTTACATAGTTTAATTTGCAAATAGACTCTTATCCCATTTCTCAGACCCTTAAACCAGTTTTTCCCCAGCTGGAGGATTCTGTCAGCCAAATCACAACAGACAACTGGAGGGAAGCAGTGAGGGAATCTCTTTGCAAGGATTTTTTTTTTTTTTTTCCTGTGCAGAGATGTCAGCTATCTGGTTGGTAGTTTTCATTCCTCTTTACTCTATATGAAACCTTGATTTAGTGCTTCTGCAGTACCAGAGATGTGTAAGGGTCAAGCCACAGGACTTGTACAGCCAGGTCCCTCAGCCATTGAGAGTGCCCCATGTGGGCTTAAAGTATGTCAGGACTAAGGGAGGGTTCGAATAAATAAAATGAGAAAGTACAAGATCATAGGTTTTTGCACCATACTGAATGGTCATTTCATGCTTTTCATAGAATCACCCCCAATACTGATAGGTTAGGAAGAGTCCAGAGGGGAGAGAGTTAACATCCTCTCAGTGCTGGGCCCATGATGGCCTGCTTTCTTTTTGTCTAACTGCTAAGCAAAATACAAGTTGCATAAATAGAAACACTGAATGTAGACTGCAGGAGATTATTTTAGCACTGTATGAAGACATGATGCCAGTGAATCTGTAATTTGAATATATATTTTTGCTGCAAGATCTAGAGTTCTCTTTTACACATAGACACATAACAAGAGCAATGAGGCTGTCAGTTCTGGCCATCTCAATAGTGTTGCAAAATTCTGAAGAAGATGGCAAAACACTGCATTCAGTTGAGAAATCAATTTAAGCAGAACACTTAGAGAAAATAGAAATTGTTATCTATAGAAAAGGGAAGTTAAGGGCAAGTGGAACTTCACTAAAGTATGCTCTGTGTTGGAGAAAATAGAGAAGTTCTATGCCACAAATGTAGTTGAGCTTAATCAAGTTGAGCAATTAAACTTGTTGAGCTAGTTTAATTGCAAGAAAAATAACCAAATATATCTAAATATTAAGTTTCCTGAAACTGAAATGGATACTGGCAGAATATAAGGTACTTATATACCAATGTTAAAGAAATAGTCACAACAGTTTGCATATAGAATTAAGTAACAGGGCAACAAGAATAATGTTTTAACAGGAATTAGGCAAATCTTTGGGTGTACAAACTGACTAGTGCTCGTATTGATAAAGCAGGTATTGATAAAGACAAGCATTTAGATGTATCTTCTGGAATTTTCCTTTTCAAAGTTTCTTCATTCCTATTGCCTATGGATAGCTTCACATGATAATGTTTCAATAGGCAATTTTTTTTTTTTAATCCATAAATAAAACTGATCATTGGTATATATCTAATCCTAGTGTCATTCTCTTTAGCCAGGTAAATGAAAGGCAGTTTGAAAATAGTTACATAGAAGAAAACTCTTTCCTTCCCTTCTTTCATATGCAAAGATAGGCTTGGAGGAGAGTGTTGATGACTTTTACTTTCCTTTGGGAAATATGGCAAGCTTTTCCAACTGGCTTGGCCAGAGTTTGCTGGAGCACAGCCCTGCCATGCACTCCTAGTTCTCTTCAGCTTGCTCTCTTCCCCAACTCTTACGTACCTTCCAATTTAATGAGATTATTTTCCCTTGGTATTTTTCAGGTTTTTCCTGTCCCTTCCTGTTTTTCAGTGGAGTAATCACGCTTACTAATATCTTATGCAAAAGGCCAAGGCTTCAGTACAGCATTGGAAACACTGCATGTTGTGGACTTTCATTTGCCTCTTGTGTGTATCTGCCTTTAAACTATTAATAGGAAAAATTCAGGAAAAAAACACCATAATTTAGCACATATAATACTCTACTAAATATTTTTCCTGACAAAACTAAAGATGATGTCTCAGTGTCAGTGCACAGAGAAATAGTGAGACCAAAAACTGTCTAGAAATTTCCTACTGTGACCTATGGAGAGCTGCCTGGTGGTCCCCACAGACTTGTGTTGCTGGCTCCTCATCTTTTCCAGCTGCTAGCTTCTAGTAAAAGCAGGGAGGAAAAGGTATTCCACAGAAGTAATGAATACAGCTGCCCCAGGGGTATTATGTGAAAGTGTATCAGAGAAAAGATGATCTCCACAACCCTGGAAGCAGGGGAGACAGAATTTGCAAGACAGGCTGTTGACCAGCGATCTACCATATGGAAAAGTCGGACATTTGAGTGGACTTTTATATACTAGTTTGATTAACCTCTTTCTAGTCATTCTTTTCCATCATCTTCCTCTCTACAATTACAATACACTATTCTAAAGTACTTCTCCAAATCTAGATCCCTGGAATCTACATGTAGAATAGTAACCTTAGCTCCTGAGGCTAAGGATCTTATCCCATTACCCTGACAATGCATGCTTTTTTAATAGTCCTACTCTTAATCTAATTACTCCTCCAGTCCAGTTTGAAATTTTCTCAGTCAATGTAGAATTCAAACAGAACTGTAGGCTGTATGAATAAGCCTAGCCAAACGGGAATTTGTTCTGACTAAAGGTCAGGTTTGGCCTCTGAAGAAATGTGCAGTAATGAGTGTTTGGTTCCCTTGAAAATTGCAATAGTATGGAAATGTCACAAGAATACATGTATCTTTATTTAAAGAACTGGGGTTTTTTCCCCTTCTGGGTTGTTTAAAGCCACATGACTGAGGTATTTTACAGTGCAGCTGTTACAGATGACTATGACATAATGTCCTTTCCAATGAAAGGGAGGCATGGAAAATAAGAGATATTCAGGTAAGAGAAAAATCTATTGAAACTGTGCTTAGGGCCTTTCATTTACGTTTTCCAGAAGAAGATTTTGGTCAATCCTGCCTTAACCCCGAAGTGACTGTGCTGCAGGCTGAAGAGCTGAGACATTCAGCCTGCCTCCACACACAGGCCTCTGAGGGGCTGCCTGGGGCTCTGCCTCCTGATACTCCCCTCACCTCTCAGCACTGAAGCCAGGGAGAGCCCCTTTCATACTACAGACTCTTTCCTGCTATTCTATGCCTACACTAGTTGGTGTCCCATACCAAATTCAAGGTCCTATTTAATGAATTCTCTCCATAGCTGTCTTCAGAAATAGTGACTCCAGCATGTCCTTAGGGTTACAAGAGATTTGTTTTAGCTAAAGTAAAAGAGAAGAGAGACTCAAGTACCTACTACTGATAAGCAAATAGCTTTTATTCCAAAGGAAAACATGATGTGAAAAAGTATGCCTGAGACAGAGGATTGCAGAGGCATTCCAGTGGATGTCCACACCCAGAATGGCATTTACTGTACCCTTTTGACAGTTACCACCTCTGGTATAACCAGGGCTGCTAAGCTGATGCAGAGCTGGCTTTCCCACCACAGAGGGTGCCAGGGTGGTTAAATGTACCACTGAAGGGGCAATGTCCTTCTGATGCATCACTGGAGCAGTGCTGTGGGCAGCCTCAGCCTCCTGTCAATGCTGCTCTTTCACCCCAGTGTCATTCTCTCTCCAGAGCACAAGCCAAACTTCTCACTGTTCCTGAGCAGCAGATGTTTATGATGCCAGTCCAAATGCTGGCTAACGTGAGCAGGTCCTATGAAACAGTCCTAGAAGGACATGGAGGGCACCTTACTGCAGTTACACCTTCCCCTTGTAGATGGCTGAGTAAAGAGGAATCATTTGGAAAGGAAATGAAAGCAGCAGATGGATTGCCAGGGAGAGATGTGGGGTCAGAGAGGGAGAGGTGGTGGTATATTATATCCTAGACGGAATGCAATTGAAACTGCTGGGAGGGAGCATGCTCCTGGCACATTGCTCTCTTCCTCTACAGCGTGGTTGTGTGGGTGCAGCAGGAGTCAGGGAACAGCTCTGCTTATTGTGTGACTATTTGTTATTTCAGCCCACTGCAGACTCAGGGTAGAATTACCTAAACACTCAATACTCACATTTTGAAATATTCTTTTAATTCCAGAACCATAAAAACCAGAGATCTTATGATTTTGAAAATGAAAGAGAACCATACAATAACTTGCAGACACACATAATAGCTTTTTCCAAGAGGTTATAGTCAATTTTCTGACTACAGTTAATCTGTAATGAATGTAAAAAATCTCACGCCAACATGCAAGAAAGGGAGAAGGAAGACAAAATAAAACCTATTTACTTTTAAAGGCCTGTTGACAACTAATACAAGAT